CCCCCACCCCCCCGAGAGCGGTGCGTTCCTGTTGGGGGTTTGAGGCCCTCCTGTGTGGAGGTGACTCTTTATGTGGGGAGGTTTCAGCCCCCAGGGTGAGGTCAGTCCCTGTTCGGGGTCAGGGGGGGTCCCCTCAGAGATAGGTGAGCGCTTGTTTAGGGGGATTGGGTCCCCCTTGTTGAGGGTGAGTCTCTATTTGGGGAGACTTGGGGCCCCCCCGGAAGGGAAGGTGAGCCCTCGCAACTGCTTGAGGACTGGCAGAAGCTCTCCCATGGGGATTTCGGTGAGGCCAGCACTTGGTCAGGGTTTGTTTCCAGGATGAGCAGTGTGGGCTGAACTTCTGTGAAAATCCACAGCTGATGCTGATGTCATTCTTTAGGTCAACACCCCATGGCAGGTCCTAAACTCTTGAATGCCTGCGGTCTCTATCCGTGTTACGGTTCAGTCATCGGCAGGCCAAATTCATTGACCCTTACAAGGTGCATTGTGAGCTTTACTGAGAGCCTTGTTTGGAAGGACACTTTTTTTTTAATGCAATATTTTTATAGTCTATCCTCAAATTGAGTCCAAATCAAACTTATTTCAGCTTCAGACTAAACTCTTTATTGCTTACATTAGCGAAGTGGACAATATGCGCAGAACAGGGTGAACGTAAGATATCTTCCTCCTTAACATATCTGTGGAGACAGCTCCTCCGGAGGGTCCTGGAGTTATAGAGTCCTAGTGAAGCAGATGTGGGAGAAAAAGGTATGAATCCCTATGGTACTGCGTTAAGCCATTTTAATTTAGATTCTGCAGGGGAGAAGTCATATGTTATCACCCTCTCTACCCGCCACTCCCTTCTGATAGCTTGCAACCCCATTTGTTGATTTTGATAGCAAGATAGAAGTCTTAAAAGCTAGTAAGTACCTATTAGTAAGTGCCTTCAAGTTTTGAGAAAATCAGATACTGGTTAGAGAAGGGAGATGCAAATAGATGTTCCTGTGAGGGAAAGGCTGCATTGCGAGCTCAATGGTAATTTGTTTTATCTGGCCTGCCGGCTGGCCAGCCAGCACACTGTGTCTGACCTATCTGCAGGGGATTGTCCGTGGCACGGATCTGCCTCTTATTTTCAACGTACATTTATTCATGACCAATTCATCCCTTTTTGTTCTTGTGCCAACTTTTTCCGTTAGCGTAAACAGCTCTTCTCCCTCTCTCTGGTGTTTATAGATGGTGACTTTGTCCTCAGCCTTCATCTTACTAGACTAAACATAAAAGATGTGCTCTCCATTCCCTTGAGCCTTCTGGTGGCCCTCCCCTGCACCTTTTGCATCCTGAGTTCTTGTTATGTTATGTGTGCCTTTTGTAGCAGTGCACAATGTGCAGAAAAAGTATTTCCTGTAAGTGTTCTGATATCCCTATTTTTTCATTTTTCCTTTTATAAACACCTCATTTTCTCATAAAACAAGGGGGAAAGGGTTTTTCTAATCTCCCTTCTGTAGATAGTCATTATTTGTAAAATGTTTTTCCCCACTTTATGATAAAGTTGGCCAGAGGATAACTTTGCAGAGCCAAACTCTGGCCAGAGCTCTTAACTTTCCACACAAATCCAGCTGAGCTGCACTGTTTGAGCACCAAGTGATTATCTACAGAAATCCTAAACTCGTTGGTAGAGCACTGCAACAAGTACCTTTGTGGCAGGGCCTTTGTACGGTGCTGGGAAGGGGTCTGAGGGATGCTTTTAGGAATAGGAATAGGTAGAACGTGGCTACTCACGTTGGTCTGCAGAGATCAGCCGAAATCAACCATGTCAGAAACTCCTGGCTCAAAACATCCTTCAAATCTTCTGAATCTTCGGAAGAAGTAAAACTGCAAGAAATGTCCCATGCCATAAAGACAAAGGAGAGAAAACAATCCAAATGCAAAATATAACAGCCGCTTATGCCAATACCCCCACGTTCACAGGAACATTTTATTTTCTTTCTGTTGCAATATCTTTGACTCAATGCATTGCTCACCAGCCTGTCAGTCCTGGCAACTTTTCCTTTTTATCCTTTTTGCTGCTTACTGCCAGTTGCTCCCCTCTTTCCTTCTGTGAAACTCTCAAGGTTTTTTGTTGCTAGAAAATCTGGGCAACTCACACTTAGGTTCAGAGCTCCTTGTCTGTCCCACAGAGCTTGAGAAACAAGACCGTTCTGCAGAGCTGACGGTGCCAGTGTCAGTGGGGAGGAAGTGACAAGCATGAGCTGCTCTGAGGAAAGAGAGCCAGAAGGATTTCTCTCTCTCTCTTCCTGCTACGATTGGGCCCTGGGTCTCAGCTGGGCCTGATTCAAATTAGACAGCTCAGGCTCTTGTCTCAGTTCATCTCTTTTCTGCCTTCATTGCTTCATGTCTCCGCAGCCAGGAGGCTGTATTTTCTTCTTTTCATCTTTCTCAGTACTGCCTGTTATTCTTAACTACATTTAACACTCCATCCTTTTGTCTTTTTTTCTCTGCAGCCTTTCCTCCGCCTATATTCTGAAACGTCCATATGTAAATCTCTACTTCCCAGCCTAGATCAAGAATTAGGTAGTGCCGCATGGATCCATACCCTTTGGGTTTTCTCAGTCCTCTTTTCCTCCAGGTGCCATTTAGATGCTTGACAAAGTTAGTCATTTCCTGCTTAACAGAAGTCCCTCTGCTACTGCCTGAGCATCCCAGCAGAGCCATAAACAGTGAGAGACGGTTTAAATTAAAGGGCATTTTGCTCTTAATAACAGTTTTTCTGTGCTGTGAAACAGAAGTGCCAGTGAGGAAGAAAGAATAAAGGGAAATGTTGATGGCTGGGGGTGTTGCCCCAACTGTAGCCAAAAGAATTCACAAAAGCTTTAACCCCTTTTCGACACAATGAGCTCCTGGCACATAACAGTGCCTTGGTCTTGACAGCTTTGGGATGCCTAACAGCGAGCGTGTCTGTCAGGCTTGGGGCACGAGAAGGAATTGTCCACCAGCTCCCCAGCGCCCCAAGTTCATTTGTACGCCCAGCAGGCATCAAAGCAAAGGCAGAGCAGGGGTGAAGCAGCATCTGTGCTCCAAACTGACAAAGGAAAGTCTTTGTTTCCAAGGACTTTCCCTTAGAAGTCACGTTTTTTTATTTGCAATTAAAGAGATTGGGGGAGACACTAGAAAACAATTTTTTTTGTTGTTAAGAATGAGGCTAATTAAGCTGATTAATCCCTAGCATCAAAGGTTTTCCTCCTCCCCGCCCCCATAAGAACAAGTTAGACAAACAGCTGTCAGGAACAGTTTAGGTTGAGTTGGTCTTGCCTTGGAGCAGAGGTCAGACTAAATGACCTCTTGAGATCCCTCAAAGCCCTGGTTTCTTTGATTTTGTATTTTCGGTATGATTAGCAATTCTTGGTGTCTGATTTTCTGAATGCTTGGCCTGAAACACCTCCGTGAACCATAACTGTGCTCCTTTCCCCCCACCCAGGGTCATTTCCTTCCCCCACCGCTCTTGTTTCTAAAGCAGTTGGCCTGCAAAGGCTGTGAAAGGCTGCAAATGCCACCAGATACTTGTTCCAGATGACTATCCCATGACTCCTCTCCTCGTAGCTAGGGGTTTAGTATTTTTGCGAGGACACACTAGGTTATGCCTGAAGGATGCGGGCTGTGTGCAGTGAGTGCCTGTATTCACTTGTGCCACCATTTTAGGATTTAGCAACAGCAACCTGTTAAGTTTTGTAAAATCCCCTTCATGTTAAAGAAGAAAATGTTTCCCTCGTTTATATATGTTTTTTTTTTCTTAATATAGAATGCATCTGAGAACAGATTTGTGTTTGGACTAAAGTATGCAGTTTGTTTTTCGAACATTTGTGCCATAAGCTAAGCCTGGGGGAGGTGAAACAGGCCATTGACAGGCTGTGGATGTGCTGACACAGCACAAAGCGGCAGCGCTGCGCTGCACAAGCGTGCTCTCGGCCAGATGGCTCGGGAAACGAAGGCGCTCTAGCTGCACCGGCACAGCGCTCCATATGGACTCATTTACCTTGCCGAGAGGTACCTGTTCAAAGCTAGCTCTTATCGCCATCATTACTGCAAGCTGGGTAGACACATCGGAAAAATGTGTCCAAATGTCCAGGTTGGTTGAGTTGCAAAATAGCCAATAAAAGGCACAGCTCCGAAACACACTGGGAAATTCCTCTTAGGTCACTCAGGCTTCTCTCCTGTATGGCTTCACGTTTAGGTGGCAGGCTTTTCATGACGCGAGCTTGTAGGAGTGATATGAGGAAAGAGCTATTTGTTTTTAACTGGTTAACGCGTTCTCAGCGGAATAGTTTTTTTTCCCCCATGGGCGGATTTGATCAAATCAAAACGTCTGGTAGAAAATGTGTCAATCCCATCTCATTTTTCCACTGGAAAGTTTTCTTTTGATAAGGTGAAATGGCTTTGTTTTGCTTAGCTCAAAGTACTTCATTTCGACTTCACTGTTAGGGTGAAGTTAGAATGTTGTAGGAATGGATGCGCTTCAGCCTTGTCAAAAGAAAGTGCTTTGACCTTATCAGAGTGAGGAGTTGCTACTCTGACCTTTCCGAAAACAAAACCCTCAACCCCTCCAGCCCCATGTTTCCTGAAGTGTGCGTTTTGGGAGACATTTCAAAATTTTAGAAACTTTTTGTCTTTTTTCGTTTCCTCCCTCATGAAGACAAAATGCATTATATGAAATTTCCTTTTGAAATGGAAATACTTTTTTTTTTTCCCCCCTTAGGCTGACATTGTTAGCACTGATTCCTATCCCAAAATATCCGCTCAGAAGATAAGCACTGGGGGACCTCTCCCTCCGTGCAACCGCAGTTTATCTCTTTCTGTTCTCCGATCTCACCTCTGATTTTTCTTGTTTTTTAGAAGCCAGGCAAAGAAGTCTTTCGCTTCCTGGGTGCTCAGGTCCAAGCTTTGGCCATTCACAGCTGATACTTGGGGCTCAGCTTCCCGCTTGTATGGCTCAATGATGTTGCTGGAAAGGCAAAATTGGAAGATATCAGCCTGGGATGCCACAAGAGGGTGCTAAAATGCTGCTTTTCCACAAAATTCGGCTCCCTCCCATTCCATCTAGCAGCAGCCAGAGGAGAAGGTGCTCTTGGATAGCTAGAGGGATAGCTGTGCTGTCTTTCGCCAGAGCAGAAACATTTCTAGGGCTTAGAAAAAAAAGAACAAAAACCAAAAAAAAGTCCCCAGAGAATCACTGCTGCAGTCCAGGAAAAACATCCTCAGCTCTACGTTCTTCTGTAGCCCTCAGTTGGTTGACGACAGCTCAAAATCGGGATCGTAGGAGCACTGAAAGTCTACGCACTTACTCGCTTTTCTTCTCTCGTCTGGCTAGCAGCCATTCCACAAAGTTCTTCTTCAGCATGTTGTCCATCGTGCGGCTGTAATCGCTCGCCAGGGTGGCCTCAGAGTAGCGCCTCTGCACTGCGCTGGCGCTGGGACTCCTTATGCTTACGCTAGGGTGAGAGCACGGACACACGTGAGTCCAGCACAGACAGGGAGCAAACGCTACACGAACTTTTGATTGGAGCTCCACGTGCAGCTCCTATAGCCAGCAAGGTTATGTAATCAGTTTGAATCCCTCTCGGTACCGCCGACCGTTCCCGCACTGTAAAGCGAAGAGATGGCTGAAGAATGGGCGAGCACGCTTCTCACCCATTTTGCTGGCTGCTAGCCCAGCTGCAGCTCAGATTCAACTCCAGAGGAGGAGCTAAGCTCAGGTTATTTACTGATAGTCTGGACTCAGTGTGGTCTTCCCTGCCATCACCTGACCCACATGGACTGGAAATTTGGCTCAGTGCTCAGGTACCGAGTACGCTCAAGCTCCCTTCCCTAGTGAGCTGCAGACCTAGGGCCAAGGGAGCCGCTTCCTATGTCCTTGAGAGCCTAAAAGGTGGATGGCAGGAGACAAGGTGCGACCTTGATACCGGTGCTGGTCTGACAGCATAGACGTAGTTGGTGGCCACTTAAGTTAGCAAAGGATACCAAGGCTGATTTTGTTTTTGTACTGTTATCTGGAGTTGTAGCAACTCCTGCTCTGATGAGGATTCTTTTGGATCCTCTCAGAAATTTCGTGGCAGGAGTCAAGAAGAGGGGGAAAGTCTTCATCATGTGCCTACTTTATTATTACTGATCATATTTTCACATGCCTCCCTATACTGGGTGCCCCCTAGCCTCATTCGTGTGAGACAATTACATCTCGTTTCTAGTTCCCAGCCAACCTTGTTCTCTTCCTGGTTGACTTCCAGCTTGTTCCTCCCAACCCCAAGCCATGAAGTTTATAGGGAGAATTTGGAGAGTTACTGGCTCTGACCCAAAGGCTCAGGGTTTTAGTTTGATATCTCTCTTATCATTTGCTCGTCTCTGTACACGTGGTTGTCTGTCTATTATCCGAGATCTATCCGATTATCCGAGGACTGATCTTCTCACCTGTTTACCAAGATGCCAATGGAAAGAATGCATTTGCCTGCAGCCGGGAGCTGGAAAAGGCTCAAAATGCATTGTGGACTGTTCCTGAACACTTACCCTGAGACGTTCTCTTCCATCAAAACAAGGCTCAGAGAGGCAAGAAGCAGAGAGAGAACTTTCAAATACTTCATTTTCTTGGCTTGTTTCTTGGTTTAAAAGTAGAAAGCAGTTCAGATGTCTGGCCCCTATAATGCATGGGGACAGATAAGTGACAGGAAAGTAAACCCAGAAAGATATGCGGCAGTTAGGCACGTGTCTGTGCTTGTAAACGTGTTTCTTCGGTCCCTGTGCTTGGAACAGCCTTCTCCATCCTACAAAGCCCCCCTCTACCGTTCCCAGTTAAATTACTTTTTCAATGCCAACGCTCTTTCCTGCCTTGGTGTCTTTTAATGTTTGTTCCCTGTACTTTTATTGTAACCATCAAATTCATTGTGGGTTGCACATTCCTCGAGGCAAGGACATTGTCTTCCTCCATGTTTACAAGCTGACCCTGTTGGTACCTCATTGTGCTTTAAGGGTTGAGTCAACCTTAAGCATGTGAAAGGGAACGTTCGTTTGGATCAGGCAGTTCAGTAGCAAGCAGGAGTAGCATGGCATCCCGCCTGTCCCGCGCTACGGTTCTGCAGGGTTTAGGAGCCCGATCTAATTTCTGGGAGATTTTCTCTCTCGAGAGGTAATGCCTTAAGTAGGGACTGGAGCCAGAGCTGGTGAGTATCAGTTATGAAAAATATCCTATGGACAGTGACAGGATCGGATCCCAAGATTTATTAGTTTCAAGCTGTTCCTTGTCCTCACGTCCACAGTTCAGTTCACTAATCCTTGGACATTTGAGCACTTTTAATGACTATTCCAGCTCTACAAACTCTGTACCAAAACAGTTTTGATCATGGCTCATAGATATATTTTATTGTTCTTTGCTCTTCGTTATATATAGATATTTCTGGAAATTGCATTACAATGGAGAGTTGCTCTTAACAAAAATAATGCAGTAACAAAAAGAACAGGACTAGATCAGGACTCAGGCACCTTGTCCTTCAAAAATGTGTTTATACGTTAATGTAACTGTACTCTTATAAATAGCCATTTGTACTCTTACAACAGCCTTAATTATTATTTTGCAGAAAGTGGAAGTTTGAATGTTGTTTATTATTAAGGCACTTTAGAAAGCTATGACATTTTTACAACTGTTTTCAGCTTTTCTTATTAAGTGAAAAAATATTAAATTACATTACATTATCTCAGATATATCAAGATCAAATGAATACTCTTAAAAGCAAAGGTGTAGTATTCTGTGAACACTGACAAAAATCCCTAAAATACTTTTAGCTAAAACAATAAAAGATAAATAGTTACAGAGTGTGCTAACAGCAAAAGTAAATTCCATGATACAAAAAGCTGAGGAATATTTTAAATTAGAATTGAAAAAAGTGTCATGATTAAATAACTGATTAAATAACTTCTGTTTGCTTTTCATTACATGTATTGATGATATAATATAATGGTGAGTATGACAATGGATCTGAAAATAGCTAAGTCGTGGAAGAATATTATTGTGCTTAAGGTAATTATTTATGAAGCTAGGAGAGGAAATGCATGATAGCCTTAATTTTAAGAGGTTAGTGCTCTTTAAAACATTCTCTGATGATGATGAATTTACCCAAACAGGGAGGAAAAGGAGTCCACGTTTTAAGAGATTGTTGAAAAACAAGTTCTGAATTAATACGAGACCTTTTTGCCTGTAAGGCACTGGAATGGAGTAGTCAAGCTCTGCTGTCCCTGACCGGCACAGGGTTTGCTGAGGCACCTACACTCTTGTGATCCCGAATTTGACAGCCCCGCGAGAGGTGGTTTACTGACCTATTCCACAGCTGCCCTGGAGGAGCTTTACCTGCTGTGGGGAGCTTCGCAACGTGAAGATTTTCTAGCCCGCCTGTGCAATATCGTCTGCTTTGGAAAAAGCGTTATCCCTGTTTTATCCATAGCTGAGAGGACACAAGAAACGAATGAGAACCAATTTCACCTTCTTTCCCTGCACAGTCCATGTTTAAAGGCGCAGATCCCAACCCGATACTTCCTACGCGCTGAAGCCTCCTCTGAAATAACGGTCTTCAACTCTTTTCTGCCAAGCCTAACAAGATAAATTGCTAGTCTTCTGCCACTTTGGAAAAAGCTTAGCCAAAGATACAGGTTCTTCCTGCTCTGCTACATCTACTATCTGACCCTCTCAAACTCTATTTGCTGCCACTGTTAGCTTAGGAAAAAGAACAAAAATTAAAAAAAGAGAGAGACTGACGCAGAGCTTCTTACCTTCCTGCTCCTCTGAAGCTGCCCTGAGGATTTCAGCGGGTTCTGGTGCTCAGAGGAGACCCTCCAGAGCCTTTATATACATTAGCTGTGAGGGACTGAACCCACTTCCATGAAGTAAACAGGAAATAAGCACCTAATCGAAGCAATTCAAACCCACTTAGATCTGCTTCGTTAGGTCTGTTGACCTGCAGAGCAGGAAAATAACCTTTTAGAATATGTTTACATTAATGGCAGTTAAACATCACTATATCGCAAAATCAAGAGTGAACGTGTACTGTGGGCGCAACACATATGGCGTTAGTCTACAACTTAACTCCACGTAGCACCTCCTTCTGCTGGTAAAAACTTCCTTGAGCTCCATCTTTTCTTTTGCAAAGCACGAATCTCATCCTGGGGAGATCCAGGCTGCTCCTCTGCTCTCTTAGAGATGAAGTAGGAGTAACTTTGCTAAAGCCACAAACTCGCATCCTTGTTAGGCGTGCTCAAGGACCGCAGTGGGAGAGCAGCCGGGGTAGCGCGGAGCAGAGCGCCTGTTCCAGCCCTTTGAATCGAGCTGCTTCTGTGCCGGGCGAGCGACGGAGCGCTTTCTCCGCACGGCTCGGCCGCTGGCCGGGGGCACTGAGGCCACCACCTCTCCTTCCCCTGATGCAGCGGGAGTGCAGATGTGCCCCAGATGTTGCTCATGCCAGAATTCAGCGAGTGTAAGGGTAAAGCCACTTCCACCGGCTCTGCCGTGGCTCCACGCCTGGTGAGGTTCTCCCCAGCGTCTGACCTGTCTGACTTACCCCGGGACGGTTCAGGAGGAGAGCCAGGCCTGTTAAATTCTGATGCTGTTGGCTAATATAACGGCAAACCAGCTACTCTGGTGATCTATGATCCTGGCTGCTCCCAGGGGTGGACCTGGTACTCCAGGATCCCCCTCACGCACAAGTTGAAGGAGCAGAACTGGATTATTTTTGTACCAGGCTGAGCTCTGTGCACACTGCCGCCAAAAAGAAACACTGCCCGCGGCTGACTCTGCTGATTTGCAGAATACCCTGCCATCCGTGGTTCAGTTCCCCAGGGCTGGCTGAGCTTTTGCAGGAGGTTAGCGGCGTCACAGCCTTCCCCTCCGGTCCGCCGGCGTTTGCTCGTGTGGTTCAGACGAGCTGCTAGGAGCAGCAACCCAGCACACCTGGATGTAGGAGGGCTGCGCGTTCACAGCCTCCCAGACTGGTGCTGCCTCAGCTGCATCTCAGATCGGCGTGTGAGCGAAGTCACTTTAGTGCTATTAGGGAGTAAGTATTGCTTCCGCAGGAGCTGCCGGACACGTAGCTCAGTCCTTTAACCAGCACCACACAAGCACCCCAAGGTCTGCAAAGGCTTTCACCCGCAACAAGCATGGTGCCTGCTGTGCTAAATGATGCAATGTAACAGTTACAAGTAGCCGATCTACACTCGCGGCACAGTTGCTAATCAATAAAATGGAGCAGTTTATCCTGGTTGCTTTATTATATGTATTCTGGGTACTTCACTCCCAGCCAACTCAGATACCTTGTTTCTCCAAAGCGCACCCTATTTGTTTTCCCCTCATTAAGTGCCTCCGTTGGATGTAAAGTTAATAGAGTGAAATAAATATCCAGCAACCTTAAATGTTGACCTAGTGTTCACAGTTACGGTTATTTCAGGGCGTCTGCTCATGATCCAATTTGGACTGCAGCGTTGCTCTGAAATTTCTCACAACCTTTCAAACAAAAAGGAAAAAAACCCACCCAAACAGATATACAGAAGTATTTCCAAGGAGACGTGGTGTTGCCTGCATTTCATTTGGTCTGTGTGATATCCACAGATCAATGCCTAAAATAGTTAAGCTTTGCCTGCCAGTTCAGGTCTGCAAAGTCGAGAGGCTAAGAGTGAAGCGCTAGCCCGAAGAAGGGCCACATACCCACGTGTGCTTTTTCCAGCGTAACAGAGGCGCTAACTAAAGACGCAGACCTTGCCCTTCCCTAGCCTCCGACCATCAGAGCTACCGCAACGCTTCCCCCGTCGCATTATTCGTGGGCTGCTGCCTTTTCTTCTAACAGGACTCATTTCACAAGCTTCAGCTGGGTCCCCCCTTTAGGTTTCACCCAGCCGGAGCGTTGACGTTTGTCTCCCTGCAAACCAGGTAGGAGAGCGAGGAGAGCTGCGGCTGCCCTGTTTCACCCTCCGCAACCACGCGGTCGCTCGGCGCTCCACTTCTCAGCGATAGACCTGACCTGAGGAGTCAGTGTTTCAGGAATTTGGAAATACTTTGGGAAGATCACAGCTGTGTTCCTGAAACAGCCCTTCTGGTCTGCTTTGGGACACCAAAACATCTCAAGGGCAACTTTGATTTCAAAGCATTTCAAGTATTAGATGTCTCCGTAATCACAGAAAACAGGGCTGGGAGTGACCTTAGCAGGTCATCTATTCATTCTCCTCCTTCCAGATAGAATCAACTCTGCTTAAATCGTATTGAACGGCCAAAAGTCTAATCCGCTCCTAAAAGTGTGCTGCAAACTTCCCAAGAAATCTCTTACAGTGTTTAGCTCTGACATCTCGCCTTCCTCAGCGCCGCTGTCCTGTTCCCAGTGGATGCGGTGAACAACGGTTTCCCTTTCTGCCCGGAGCAGGGCTGCCTGGCGCCTGTTTGGCAGGGCTCCCCTTAGGGCACCTCCGTTCTGCCAGGGCGTTTCAGCGGCTGCGGGTGCCAGGTGAGAGCACCGCTGCCTGCGCCGGCGGGGGGGTCGCCGGGGCGGTTGAGCTGCCGCCGTTCCTAATCGTATCCAGCTCTGGTCGCTCAGCATTGGCATTTGTTCTACTCCTCAAATCACGGGGAGAGAGGAAGGAGGGATTTTTTGTGTTGTTTTTCATCCCCGTCCGCTCTCTGAGATGGAGAGCGACCGAGCACCTTTCAGACTCTGCTCCTCGCTCAGCACCAAGTCTGCTCTCAAGGCAGCTTTGCTGCTGGCGAAGAGGCTCAAGGCTTTCTTTGGGGCTATTTCTCTCCCTAAAATACCAGCAATGGCATGTTGTAGAGGAGCTGTAAGTAACCCTCGTGTGCTTTTTTCTCACTTATCCTGTTGCATCTTGGCTGGGCACTAATTCTCTAAATACCAACATCTTTATCCCAACCCCCGGCTCTGCAGCCCAGCCTCCGCTCTCCTCCCCGGGCTGCCTGCGGACTGGCTGTCCGCTCGCAGCCTCGGCTAACCCAGGTGGGTCTTCTATGTCTCAAGCACCAGGGGTTTGGGCTGTCGGGATGGGGAAAGCACCCATCTGCTCCCCGCTGCCAGGACTCAGCTTCAGCTGTAGCTGAAGGCAGCGAGGATTTGCCTGGCTCCTGATCCCATCCCTGGTGCTTGAACCCATCCGGCGTTCAAACCGAGCTGCACGAGGACGGTCTGCCTTGATTTAGGGGAAAGCTTTGCAGTGAAGAACATCGCTTCAGCCTCTCTTTTGGACTCAAACCTGCCTTTCCCTCCAGTGCTTGCAGGGATGGAACAGGTTTTTTTACAATGGCTAAATACCAGATATGTCTTTAAATGCCAATACTCCCTTTTAGCTGCAAACAAACCCTAGGGCCTTTTAAGGCTCCAGCGGTTGTTCTTGACTAAGTCAGCTCACTGGTATGGCTGTTTCAGATCCTCCCTGGTTGCCATTTCTTTTGAAGAATCAGACAAAAAAAAAAAAACCAAAATTAAAAAACCCCCAAAACCAGGAACCACAAAACACTAGTCTTCTCCATATTCCACTCTGCGCTTTTTTTTTTTTTTTAATGCATAGCATATACCCCCCTGGGAGCAGGGACCTACAGCATATAGCACAGTAACTGGCGTAACAAAAAGCCCATGGTAGAGGCTGTAACTTCAATGCATTAAAGATGTACTTTGACCACAGAACCACGCCGGTGTACAAACCCCGCCAGCCCAGCTTTTACCTCTGCGTAGCTGAATGCTGTCGCTGCTTCGCGAGGGCGTAAAGATGATCTCGGCTTGCTATCGCCTTCAAGCTACCTGTGCTGTGTCCTTTTAGCACTTTACCTTGCGACAGCTACCTTGATGTGAAAAACACACTTTATTCCCTCTTGGAGCAAAGATAGAGCCAGAACTAAACAGCTGGAGAGATTAGAGCGGTGGAGCTGCAGGCAAGGAGAGGAAATAATCAGTCCCGATAAATCCCAAGTATGTACCAGCAGGACGAGAAACTAGACAGCACAGTCCACGGGAAGGCGTCTGCCCAAGTGGCCGGTTCAGTAACGCGAAATTATTTCCAGCCCGTGCCCTTGCCGCTCTCCTACCATCACTTTCCCCGCAGCCCAGCAGTGCGAGTGCCACGGCGCAGGCTGGGGGTATCGTTCAAGGTTTAGATTGTGAAATGACCTATACTTTTAAAGTGACCCACAGCAGCAAACTTGCTGCACAGTTTGCCACCTCCCCGGATACAGTCGTTTTGGGTACGATGAATGAGACGAAAATGGAAAGGCATTAATGACTGAGCCTTTCGCTGCCTCGCGCTGCAGGGAGTTTGAAAAGCGGAGGCAAGAAGAGCAGGACGCGGTGGCAAACCCTCCGTCCCGTGGGGAATTTAAGTGGCGACTTGCAATTATAGGGCCCCCAGATTCATGCTCATGTCGTATAAATCTCATCTAAAAGCGTTCATTTCAGCCTGAAGGAAATCTGATACAAATACCTGAAGTCACTGGAAGGAAAACATTTAATCAGCGCTTTGTAAGTGCGGAGAATGGTTGGAGAGGGGTCCAGGAGATCAGCTCCTACGTGAAATAAGGTCAGGGGGAGTTCAGCAGCGGCAGAAGTCCATCCTCCAAGATGCTTTTTGAACTGCATTAATTTAGTTTATCGTTGTACTAAGACCAAAACTTTCCACCATCGCTCAAGCCACCCACGGGAAGAACGGCTGCTACCACTATCCGTCCAACTCTTTGCAAGTGATTTTGAGCAAGAAAAACTGTAAACTTACAGCTTAGGAAGGTGTGCTGGAAGGGAGCTGCTACATATTAATTTGGGGGAAAAGTGAAAATTGAAGGGACTAACAACACAATTATGGGGCTCTTTCCAATAAGCTTTTTTCTTTCCTTGCATCTTGAGTTTCCCGCCTACGCAAAGAAACGGGCTGCAGCCCCCCAAGTGAACAAGACCATCGCCATTATGAAAAAATTTGGATGCCAAGCAGCCTTGTTTTGTTTCAGTCTGAACAGTTCATTGCATGTGCACAAGCCCAAACAGAGGATTCAGTTTTCTGCTCTAGGAGACCTGGAACGTGCAACCATCCGGAGACCTAACCAAAGCTGCCCGCCCCGCGCCGCAGCGAGCGCAGCGATAGCAAACGCACACAAAGTAGAGAGGAGAAGAAAATAGCTGTTTGCCTGCGGTTTTCTCTTGTTTTTGTTTTAAGGAGACGCCAACTTTTAGCAGCACAGCCAAAGGATTCTCCAAGATGCGAGTTGATTTTTTTAAGCCGGGGTTCATCGGAGTATTTGCTTTGTTTGTAACTGAAGCACTAAAATGTTTAGGAAATATCCAAACGTCGAAGAAAGTTGCAGGTTTAACCGTTTGCAACGTCAGCTCTGCTGCTCTTGAGCCTCGTGCAAGGTGCTGGCAGAGGCGCCCCGGCCGGGAGCAGAGGGGCATTTCACAGCCCGCCCGCAGCGCCTCGCTGGCGCGGCCGCTGCCCCGTCCTCCTCCGCCTCGACCAAGCCGCAGGCAGAAGCAAAAACCGCCCTGCGAGCGCGCAGGGAATCCGGGGATTGTCCCAAATCCAGCGCAATGCTGAATTTTGTTTCAAAGAAAACTGTTAATTTCCCAATCAGTTTGATTCTTAACAAATTTGGCAGCACAGCCTGGAATCGGCGGGACCTTCTCGGACGGGAGCTTCTTTTTTCCATTTGTGAATGTTTTCCACATAATAAAAAGGGAACAAAAAGGGGTTTAAACTGTGATTCCACTTCACTAAGAGGAAATATTTCCCCACTGCATTGCTCGCTCTTCTTATTCTGTTGAATTCTCACCTGTGTTTTATGCTCAGGCTTGCTCTGAGCTCAGATGATTTCTGCTAGCTGAGAGCTAATTGAAACAGATTCTGCAAACATTAAATTCTTATTTTTTTGCTGTATGACCTATGTATTTTACCGAAAACTTTCAGCACACATTTATTTGATAGTAATCAACAGATACTTTCAAACTGTTGAAACTGAAGAATTTCCAGAGTTTCTGGGGTTTTTAAATACACCTTTAATTTTCTTAAAATTAAACATTAGTGACAGCACTAGAGATTAAAAAAAAAAAACAAATTAAAGAAAGATTCAAATGACAACTGGCAGAAAAATTACAGATTATAATCTGTTCTAGTTTACCACTAATCTGTCATAAAGATTATTTCTGTTTTAGGTCTTTTCTGAGTCAGAGCACCAGCAGCACTTGAGCAGACGGCAGGAATTTCGCCCCTTTGTACGAAGCCCACGTTTCATTAAAACCTCAAACGCGCTGCTCGCCCCTCCCGTTCAACTTTGTACTCCAACCAATTTTTCTGAGCACCCACGCGGCAACAATCGCTTTTCTGAGTTGTGGAGAAATTGTCAGTTCTCTGTGAGCGCTTTGCTACCTGCTTCAGGGATTTATATCTAAGGGAAAAAACAACCAACCAACCTTTTGCCAAAATCAGATCTTACATCTAAAGTCAGGAATAAATTTATGCCGACGCCGGAGCGGGACACCGTTTGTAAGCCCACGCGAAGCGGCCAGCCGCTCGGAGCGATTTCGCCAAGAAATTTAAGGAAATCCTGGGGAAGGGAGAAGGCCACGCAGGCTCCCCGAGCTGACAGCATCCCGGGGGAAACTGCAGCTTAGCAGCGCCCCGGCTGCAGCGCTCCTGACCGGTTGGGGCTCGGCAGCTGCTGCC